ATCTACAGACAACTTTTCAGCCCCTCTAGCCTCGTGCAGTTGGGTTGCCAGCACACAGTAACTACATATCGCTCTTACTCCAATGAACTAAAAAAATCTTTCTTCTTACTACAAGAAAGCATTCACTGTCAGAACTTCAAAATCAGTTAATGTAAACAGCATATTGTTAACCATCTTTATATTACTATTCATTTATGCAATTTCTAAATCCTTGCATTTGTTATATTGTCTACCTAATTCGCCAGCCCCTTCAGGCTGGAAGTGCATCTTTTCTAAGGTCTTTAAAAATTCCAGCACACTTGATGGCAACATAAAGTAAATAAGCACTATACAGTTCATTATAGAAATTTGAAATAACAGCAGTATTTCTATATATAAAGTAGTCTACATTTGACGTAAAGACAAGGTTTGTTTTCTAATGAACACAGGTGAAAGAAAAATCCCTAAAAAGTATCTCTGCAATTTTCACAGTACCAAGAAAAGTTAGTACTCTGAGAAAATAAAAGAATATGCTGAATATGAGCAAAGCATCATGAAGCAAATAATCATCAAAAATCATAAAGTCTGTTATACTGTAGAACAAAAAGGAAAGAATGTATTTGCAGTCAAGTGTGTCTGTGCTGGTACATTTGCATGATTATTTTTCATTGCCAACAATTTTTTGAGATTAGAAACAAACTGGAATTTGACTGCATCTTTTCAGTTTAGAGTTAATGATTACTTGGAATTTACTTGGGCAATTCTTATATTTTAATTCTTATTTCAAACAAAAAAAAATCTATAAACAAATCAAGATTATTTAAAAAATTCAAAGGAATTGATTTTTCAAAAATATCGTTTAATCCCAAACTATAACATACTACATTGCTGTAGAGCTAAAATGTACTTGAAGAGAAGGAAGACCACTCTATCCTTCTACAGAGTTCCTATTACTATGGTTCTCTAAGTTTTAAAAACTTTGCAAGAGAATATATTTGCCTTTTATGCGATATGTTTTTAGGTACAACAAAGGCACTGGTAAAGATGATAAACTTTAGCATTAAAAAGTACTCTTAAGAGAGAGGATTTGGAAACTATCCCATTTGAAGGTAAGATGCAGATCTCAAGTTTAAAGAGGTCATCAAGATATATTAGAAAGTTTGGATGAGAGTTTATAGTCCTCTACACTTCTCTGTTCTCTACACTGCCTCTGTTCACACCATGCTGCTTCTGCAGTTGATGGAAATCTAGTCAGTATAGCCAAATGTTCCTGGAGTACCATTCATCTCATCCTGAAGCAGGCACGTAAAATAGGTCAGATCAATTACGGCCCATAAGTGCCTCTCTCTTCAATGACTATAAATGGGCCACAGAGCGACTGACTTAACTCCAGACATCCGAAATGAGATGAATCCCACACACCACAGCTATCCTGCAAAAGTTTTCTCAATAAAATAATGTTGAAATGTTTCTTACCAAAAGGGCATTGAAACAAAAGAAAATACAGACAGACTTTTAAATATCTAATCTAATGCAGTCTAATTTCTGAGAAAGTACTAAATTGCTAGACCTGAAAAAGAATTTGTTGCATGTTGTTTATTTCTCATAGTGTTTGTCAATAGGTATAATTTCCAGTCTGTCTGGGAATAGGAAATGAAAAATTGAGCAGAACCCATTTTTGTTGTGATTCCCTCTAGAGGACAGATATGTACACATTTCGTGATCTTTTGAAAAATCTGGAGCTTTTGAAAGTACATAAAAACAAACCAATTTTATTGAAACCAGCATACTCTTTGAAGACGGTTGGAAAACGGGCTTTTTTTCCCGCTGTGAAAAAACAGACCAGACAGCTGATACCTCAAGAAGGAGAAGTAAAATCTTAGGAATATCACTTCCATGACAATTCCACTTACATTGTGCTCTTACGTAAGCAAAATTAAAAGATTGCTCTATTTTTTTTTAAAAAAAACAAAACAAACTTCTCAGAACATTCTGATCCTTATATAAAGTAAATCTGTTTGGAGAATGTCAACAGGTCTTTCAATTAAAAATGTAGTTTTCAGAAAACTGAGGCTCTACAGGATACCTCTAATGAAACACTTCACTGGATAAACTGTGAAAAAGTATTCCAGTTAACTGAATCAAAATATTTAATTTGGGGTCAATTTAACACTGCAATGCATCTGAGCCAGATATGAATGGTGGGACTTTGATTTCAGGTGTTTCAAATCCCCCTTCTAAAGTGTGGCAAAGCCTCATGGATGAGTTCAACAAGGAAGCCTGACCCAGCGACAAGACTGGGGCCTCTGATGCACAGCAGTAGCTCAGCAATTTCCCTCCTGCCCATCATGGGCATAAGAGGATCTGAAGATACAAATTCTAGCATAAGGAGTAGCAAAACCTTCTCTCTGCCCTCAGGCTGACAAACCTGGCAGTTCAGGCTGACAAAGTTCAGTGGTACCTTAAAAAAATTTTTTTTTAGTGTTTCAGTATTTTGCCTTCTTGAAAAATAATCTTTTTTAAAATGTTTTATTCCATTAAAACATCTTCATTTTTCATTTTTGTCCTGATATGGAGCAAAAACAAATATTGAAATATAAGAAGCTCCCATAAGAAAAAAATTCTGAATGTTGACCAGATAATATCAAAACCTCTTCAAGGAACACTCTCTGCTGCATTTAAGGAGTGAAAGAAAAAAAAAAATAGTATAGAGACAGAACCATCTTAAAATATTATTTATTTCCTTGTTCTATTGGCTCCTGTAAAACATAACTTTAGTATCTGTACTGCACTTAGAGTTTTAATCCAATAATCACACAAAACTAATGGCTCAAGAAGTTAAATTTAGCAGCTATATGGTATCTAATAGCCATATTGCACTTGGGAACAATTTGAGATCTCTTGCTCTTCAAGCAAAAACTCACAATCATTGCTCAAATAACCTGTATACAACAGCCAAAAGTGAGAAAAAAACAACAGCCACTTTCTGTCACTGTAGTAATTTTTGGTGAAGAGTTAAACGTATTTATTCTCCTGCATTATCTTTATTTTCAAGAAAGTGATAAATATATATTTATAGGCTTATTTTAGAAGAACAAACCTGTTCTGATAGCTGGAAAATTCGATGAACTTCTGTTCTGTTTTAAACTGCATATTCAGATAACTAGAAGTACTATTACAAGGAACAAAGGTGCTTCATTTTAGTTAAAATCTCTCACCTTCTTCCTTTAAAGAAGCCTTCAAAAGTTATGCTTCTTTAAACTGAGTGACTTCAAGGTTACAAAACATTAATGGATATTCCTGAAGCTGAATTGCCTTTCTCATCATTATTATCATCTTTTGTTTGCTTGTCTCCACATCTGACTATTTTTAAAAACTTTGTTCATTTGTGAAAGTAAACCACGGCAATGAAAAAATGGGTTCAGCTGAGGTTGCAATATCTACCAATCTGGTATAAGATCATGATAAATCAGTAAAATACACGTGTACTTCACCTCTTTCTTCTTTATTCAATTACATATTTTCTCAGTGCACTCAGAGCTATGTTCCCTTTAAATTTAGCTTGCTTGCAATTTAATTTTCCCTCACACAGATGTCATGCACGATGGTACACTTTTAATATTTCACACCCATTTGAGGAAAAAAACATCCATTTTCTTCTGTTAATTATATATATATTTCTCTATGTGCAAAATATAGTACCACAGAATAGTAGCTCACAAATTCTCATAAACTGAATAGCAATGGATCTCACCAGCACTCACTTAAAACCTCCACATTACACAAGTGTTGCAGAAACCACCATTCTACAAATGGCACACATCCTTCTAGAACAGTACTGGACCGTTGTTCCAAAATGAGGCAGATGGGTAACTGATTACTTAAAAACAAGTCTTTAAAACAATAAATAAAACAAATCCTTGTCCTGTTCCTTTCCAATGCCAAGAACAAAGAAATTAGCTGAAGGGCATACCCAAATCCCATTTACGTTCGGTTACTCAAAAGTCCATGTAACTTGACTTCAACAGCTTTCAGATGCTAGCATACATAACTGCTATGCAGTCTGCAACAGGCAGAAGGCTGAAGTGATGGTATTGCTTAGGTGGGTAGAATGATCCAGCTAAAAGCCCATAATACTTGAAATGTGCTTTCTGTCTTGACGTCATATCTTTCCATTCACACTTTCTCATCTGTACTGAAATCCAAAGTATAATGCAAAGGCATGGGTTTTTCTGCTACCAAAATTAGTTATATACTTTCCACGGCTATGGGAACTCAGCGGGAGCGCTTTGATACAGATTAGAGACTTCTGGCTGGAACACAAGTCTTAAAAAAAAAAAACCAAAACATTTGGTTAAATGTATACCAATACAATATAAATACCAATGTATTTTCTGCCTACAGTGGCAAGAAATACTTAGCACTGTATTAGCAGTTTATTAGCAAAAATCCACTTCATTTTGTTTCTTATAAAATATTAACATTTCAGGGCCTAATGAGCAAAAATACTAGCGTAATTTTTGATTCACAGTTACTGTGACTATACGTTTCTTTTTCTTTTGAAGAAAGTCTGTGTATATCTGCATCTAGAATATTGCTCCACTTCAGAATTGTTCTATCGTTAGTCAGAATATCCTCAGGACTGCAAGTCTCTTGTCTCCATCAGTCTGTAGGGGAACACAGGCATTATTCAGGGGGATGCTATTTGTGCTTACTCAGTTTGCTCTAGTCAAAAGTTTGTTAGGAGCAAACCATACAAAGTGCCATATCAGATCAGACCAAAATCTGTCTCTGACAGTGGTCAGTAGCAGTCTGAGA